GATATACAAAATTTGCCTTTCACGAGGTTTAAAACTATAGTGAAACAAAAACTTTATACTAAAGGTTATTATACAACTTCTGCGTACTTGGATGACAAAAATCCGTGGTAGTAACCCGTTTAGCTCATGGAGGTAGTCTCGGTCTCTGATGTATCAAATAAAAAAAAATATTGTAAATGTTATTTACAAAGAGCAACCCCTAGAGTTTCTTGCTCATTCTTCTCAGGGGAATCTGCCGTACGAATGAGCGGTAGAGTTTAACCATTGTGACGATTTCAAGTGTAATAATGCTTACCTATGAAATAAAGATTATTTTGAATTTGAATTTACCGTTTTTCGCAAAGGTTGAACGGCGGCTGGAATTTCATTCTGATTGGCTTCGTTGAAGGGTTTTTGTCAAAGTGGAGAACGGCGACTTGTCCGAACGGTCTTCGTTTTTATTTTGTACTCGGGTACGCGGAGAAGTTATTCGAGTGCTTGACGTTACGGGCGATTTCGCCTCGGGCGGTTTCGCGGGGACTCGTGGTTCCGGCGGCGCGAAGAAAACTTGGTGAAGAATGTCATTCGTCGGGCCGACTGCACCGTTATTCCTATAGTCAACTGTCTCCCGTGGCCGAACGGTTACCGTGCCGGACCGCCGTGCGGAGGCCCCGGGTTCGCTTCGCGGGCCGGGAGAGACGTCCGTACGGTCTACATTTGTCTACCTCGCGAGTTCGGGGGTAATCGCGGTTGCCTACGCGTGTCCGTACACCCGCGACCCGGGAGTGCTTCCCCCCTACTGCGGCCGGCGCCGGGCGACACGCACCGGAATCCCTCGAGGCTGTCGTGCTGCTGGCGCATGAGCCGCCGGTGCACGTCGGCCTGGCGCTCCATGGCGCCGAGCCGCAGCTGCTCCCAGCGCTGGTTGAGCAGGCGCATCTGCAGCCGCACCTCGTGCGCCTCGTCGCGCGACAGCCCGCCGTCGCCCACGAGGCGCGCGCCCTGCTCCAGCACGGCGCCCACGCGCGCCTGCTGCTCCGCCAGCTCCAGCAGGAACCGCTGCGAGAGACGCCCGTGAGCCCGCGCCGCCCCCGCCCCGCCCCGCGCCGCCCCCGCCCCGCGGGCGCGCCGCCTCACCTCGTGCGCGTGGAAGTGCTCCTTCAGCTCGTGCAGCCGCGCGGGCGCGTCGGCCGCGTCGGCGTCGGCGGCGGCGGGCGCCGGCAGCGGCGGGCTCGCGGCCAGCCGCTCCTCGGCCTCCAGCAGCCACGCCAGCGCGTCCTCGAGCGCCGCGCCGTACCCGCCCAGCTCCGCCGAGGCGGTGGTGGCGCCCGACAGCGGCCGCGACGCGCGCCCGCCCGGCTCCTGCGCCGAGACCCACGATCGTAACCGGCGGCTCCGGACGCGCGAAAGCGAAGGAGACGCGGAGACGCACCTCGACGACGGCGACGTCCGCGTCGTCGGAGGCGACCGCCTCGGCCGCCTCGACCGCCTCGGTCGCCTCGACCGCCTCGGCCGCCGGGAGCCGCGCCGGAGACGCGTCCTCCGCGCCGTGCGGGAGCGCTTGGAACAGGCACATCACGTACATCATGATCGACTTCTTGTCCGGCCGCGGGGTGTGAACGTCTGTCGACAACGAATTCGTACCTCGTGAGTTTCATCGCCGCTCCCGACGAACCGAACCCCCCGCAGTCGTCCCGGACGCCGCAACTCGGCCAATAACTGCTCGTCCGGAAGCACGACTGCGGCGAGCCTTTCGGCGAGAGTCGCTTGAAAAGTAGGCCCATCACCGTTCAAAAACAACACGGACCTTCGGGGTCGAGCAACCTCGGGATACCGAGATGTGTATGCGCAAGCGCGAAGGCGTGTTCGAGCCGCGCAACCGGCGCACGCCGCAACACGGCCGCGTAATCGAACAGCTGCGGCCGCCAGCGGTGCAGTAGCGCGTTCAGTGCCAACCCGTCCGACCACGACGTCGTAAAATCGCGCACCTCCACCCCGCTGTAATTCTGCAACACCGTAAGACACCGGTTAGTCCCCTAGCGCCAGGTGTTCTAGTCAAAGACGAGACGGGAGTGACGGAGAGACAATCTATCCAGTTGATTCGAGGAAGAATAAACTATCATGCCTGGGTGTGTGCGCGACACCAGGCCAGCAACGTGCGTTCCAGCGTAGAATGGTGTGTGTCGGGCGCAAGCTCGCGTAGGTGCATGTGCACCTGCCAATGCACGATGATGCTCCACACAAGCCCTGCAACACGAATCGGTCGTTTAGCACACGCCCCTGAAGCAATTTTGCATTCCCATAGGACGGTACGGCCACTCACCGAGAATGAGCTTCGGGTTCCCGTCGACGACATCCGCTGCGCTGATGTTCACCAACTTGACGCCGCTGCTTTCGAGCGCCGCCAGCGCCGTGTTTACGTTGTTCACGTGGTGCACGCGCATGCGCCCGCGCTCGCGTTTCTGTTCGGTATTTCAATGAGCATATTTAGCAGAATTGAGCAACGTAAGATAAACATCCACCAACAATCACACGGTTAAATTAGTCCGTACATATTGCTGCGCTGTGAGGATCTCCAGCAACGACAGCAGCACCTCTCCGTCGCGTAGATCCGCCACCAACTCTTCTACCGGCTGCTTGTTGTTCTGCGGACACACAATCACAATAGTTTTTGTGCTTTGTGCTCATGCCACAAATTCGACCCTGGTTTTATTCTTTGAATTAGTACAGTCGTTTGGTTACTTTACAGAAGGCCTGAAATGTGAAAGCAACTTGAAATACAAGTATTTCAGGTGCATTTATTGTTAACTAGCTATTAGCGCAAGAGGCGCCAAATGAGGTCCAGTAAGACCAATTTAGGAAACGAACATTTCCGTCCGCATGTTCTGAGCAATGCCTCGTTATACTGGCGATTATTCATTCCTTTTAGTTCGAGACGAGAACATTTGCCACATGGTAGTCTAAGATCTAAGTAGAGATAATTGTTTCAGACAACAAATACCATTAAGCTGTTTTGTACAAAAGGGGTAGGGAGGTGGCTTCCTCTCAAAAATTACACACAGATAAGATAACATTAGACTTACTTTGACTAGTTGTGAATTGATCCATTTCGCAAAAGTTTTCTTCTGCACATCTTCGCGTTCGTCTGTAAACAGATGACAACTTCATTAACCTAGAACCGTTACCGCTGCGCTGCGCCGTTTGAAAAACTTAAATATTGTTTTTTTTTGTACAATATCAAGTGACGGGACGAACAAGTCATGCGCCTGATGATGAGTTACACGCCTGTACATAACAGTTGCTGTGCCACTCAGAGCTTTAAATCTCAAAGATCTGAGGCGCACTGCCACTGCGCACATCACCCTTTTTTTTATTTTTTTTGACGGGGGGGAAATCTTTATGGATACCCCTGAGCCCAGGGAGACTCAGGAGTTATGTGGGGACTCTCTCTCCAGACTGGAGGGACTAAACCCCCACTAAAACCCCCCCGGGTTTCCCTCTCGCCGGTTGTGTCGGCGCCGTGGGATCAGTGAACATTCACCACGACGCCGATAGCTTACGCCAGGGCTCCCGCGCCAACGGAGGGGCGAGTCGGTTGTCCTCCGACCCACCCCCCAGACGAGTGAGGCCGTGCATTGCAGACTCCGGAGTCCCTGTCCAGAGCCCGCTGGTCTCACTAGGGGATCAGGCGAGCAGCGAACTGCCTTCGCCTTCTCCCCGTACGTCTGCGCCGGAGCAGGTGCGCGTCTGCCGCGTCCTCGCGCACCCGCTCCGCGGCGCGCCCATCACCCTGAGACGTTATTTGACGAGCTTCATGCGCCTGTAATTTCACCAGCACCCTTACCCTTCAAAATAGAAATAGGTAAGGCGGCAGTACTTCCCTGGACGAACTCTTTCACAAGGAGCTCCACTGCTACTATCATAGTTTTGCCCATAGATGCGTGAGAAATGAGAAATTAGGATCAACTTCGTTTGTTTCGAGCCCGCTCGTTAATTTAACCCTAATTTGGATATTAACAAATCAAAGTAATATTCACACACGATCTAGAAATTGTTGCCTAGATACGTAGTTTTGGTTTCTCATCAAACTAACATGATCTCAACCATGTCTCAACATCCCGTAATCTTTCAGTTTTTTGCGAGAATCGAACATTTTCTACACGTCATGAGCCACAAATTATTGAATTCCGTAATATCGTAAACACTTACTACAACAATTTAAAGATTTTGTCTACAGAATATGATTAAATTTATAGTAAACAAAGAAATGCAAAGTGCGGCTAAGACAATCCTTTTTTTAAGAAAACTGATCAGTGGAAAGCATGGAAGAAAGAAACTGTGGTGGAAAGCAAGAAATCTTAAAATTATACTCTTGTCGACATAGATACTACGCGTGTCCCAACTAGATGACATAAAATCACTTGGAGCTAAGAAAATCGTGCAGTTCTGAGTGTTTGACTAGCTCATAGTGATCTGAAAAGCTGACCTGATAATACAATGTAGGTAGGTTATGACAAATAAATAAATTTGCTTACGGTGCACCTGAGCCGCCGGGACGGAACCCGCCACTACGACCTCCCACGCTTTCAAGATCGCAATCATTAAACCGAATGCTTACGTAAATTGACCACTGCTCACTAACTAAAAATTGTAAGCAAAATTGTAAGATATCGCGAGTGGGCTAGTTCACCGCCACCGCCACCACTGGCACATACCTACTTCCGATTGTTGCGGTCTGCCGATCTTTATTAGATATTGTTTGCTCCCACCCAGCGCGCTGCGCTGGTTCGCTCCCAGCCTGAATCTGCCACAGATCACTAAACAGCTAACTCTATAATAAAGTCAGCGAATCTGGCTATAATCTTGAAGAAATTTTAGACAGGTCCTTGGCCCCTGATGCCTTTTATGACGTGCCTTCTAACACCTCCTACTTTTTCTCTTCCCAGATAGACTTTAAAATATGGTGAACGTATGAGAGTTTGGTGATAGCATGGTGAATTATTCCGAAAATTTAAAAATTATCCAGTGTCACGGGCACACCCCGGACACTCCATACAATAGTCGAAAGTTATTTACCTACTACTGCTACATAGAGCATGGCGCTATTTGCACACGCGCAAATGTGTGCGTGAAATGGCAGGGTTACCCATCACTTTCTCGTACTATTACGTTACGTGGTCAGAGCGGCAAATTCTAACGCGAATCTGTTATCTATAATTCTATTAATAGAATACTAATACCTAATTACACATGTTCGTTAGGTATCGATATAATATTGTATTAACTTTACTGTACCCTTATTCGAAGCTTATATAAATTGAGATAGGCACTACGTTTCCCGCCTTATATAGTTGTCTCTTTCTACCGGATGTAGCTATATCTTTTGTTCATTCCCTACCACCACCATGCATGTGGGGACCCTCTCGAGGAGAGAGGGTCGTAGTCTTGTTTCCCGCCGTGAAGGTCGTGGTCATTGCCACACCATAGTCACGATCCACGTGAAAAATATATTCTTCGATTTTCAGTCCATTTACATTTCGTTAATACTTTGTTATTTTGATTTTAGATGTATAAAATTAATTTGTGAACCTGTTTTCATGTAAGTATTAACCATTATTTTAGGTTCACGCGACACGTGTTTTTTCTTTGCAAGTTCGAACACGTTTTGGACTTAGTACCAAGCGCGGCATTTGGTACATCGCTTCGGCAAGTAAGATTTAATTTTTATTTGTGTGCTTTGAACGTGTTCTTTAATCAAAGTACACAACTTTGTATTTAATTATAGCGAAGCCTTTGAGTGATATTTAACGGTTATACATCATTCAGCCATACGACGCCTACTGCTGGGCATAGGCCTCCCCCAACGATCTCCACGACACTCGGTCCTGCGCTGCCCGCGTTCATCGGCTTCGAGCGACCTCCACCAGATCGTCGATCCTCCTAGTGGGGGGCCTACCCACTGAGCGTCGTCCGGTGCGCGGTCGTCATTAAAGAACCTTTCCGCCCCAACGGCCATCGGTACTCCTAGCTATGTGCCCCGCCCACTGCCACTTCAGTCTATGCTCCGCCGGTACCGGGGGTTTACAAATGAAAACTCAATGTAACAAGTTTACTGCGTGTAATTAACTTCAATACATTTAACTGCGGAAATATATCGCAATTGATATAATTTTAATTAGTATGCACTTCAAGGCCATTCGAAATCATAATAAAATGTCTCCAGTCCGCCGGCGGTTTCTCCGCATGCGTACACTCTAATACAGTTAGCAAACCTGTCAAGCATGGACAGACCAGTTTTGACCAATGGCAAACACTGGGAGTGCCAACAACATTATGTGTTGTTCTTTTAATAATTACCTAGTAGAGACCTCTACAATTATTTAACGAATTAGTATTAATGCCATCTGTTTGTTAGAAATAACAAGTCAGTGTCGCGTTCCATTTCACATCAAAAACTGTCAAAACAATATTATAAAATTAAACGTGTCGCATGGAGTTTGCTTCGTGAACGTCATCGTAATGTCACTCCGACATATAATGCATGCAAGCTTCTCTACGACTGTCATATTAAATGTATGGGAGCGATTTATCTTAAAATTTTGTTTATTTCTAGTTTTATTTAAAAAAAGTTACTGATATATATGCGGGGAAGCGCCTAAGAGAGGGCTGCGTCGGACGTGACAATTTGGAGAATAAACGAGTGGATGCACACTCGCTACCGTGTTTGATTGTCGCTCCTTCACGTTTACCTTTTCTCCTTCCGCATATTTAAGAGTGGCGACGACGAGCGGATTCGCGTACTTTCTTTACAAAAATGTCTACGGGAGTGTATTTTGGTGTATTGTCAAATTTTGATCATCTTACACACGAGTGGAACAGCTACACAAGTCTTGTATAATGCAATAGTTTATAGCATACGACATAACGCCAGCGGTATAGACGACATTTCTCGCGATATGGTATTACTTACCCTACCGTATACTTTAAAATTTATCACAGCTTTAGTCAATATTATTAACATAAGTGAATTTTCGGACCAATGGAAATTAGCGAAAATTAGGCCCATTCCAAAGATCAATACTCCACAAGATCTCAAGGACCTTCGACCAATAAGCATCCTACTATAAATGTCGAAAATAGTCGAAAGGGTGGTGATGTGGCAACAAATGACAGAGTACCTGGAGACCAACGCCTTCTTCAACGCAATCTTGCCTTCGAAACAATCAAGTTTCAGGAAGGGACATAGCACTACTACAGCACTGCTGCACGTAGTTGATGATATTTTGTCTGCACATGATACTGGAGAGGGATCCATTCTCACTTTACTTGATTTTTCTCGCACTTTTGATACCGTTGACATCCAGCTTTTAATTTCTAAAGTAATTTATTATGATTTCGACCGTAATGCTGTTAACCGGTTTAGTAGCTATCTTTGCGGTGGTACACAACGAGTGGAAGTGCGCGGTTAACTGATGATTACACAATGGTCAGTTTTGATGTTCAGTCGCTGTTTACCAACCTACCAGTAAAGTACTGCATTGAAATTGTACGTAGAAAGCTAAGGGAACATAATATATCTATTGAATATGCAGAATTATTAGAACACTGCCTAACATCAGGTTATCTATTGTGGAATAATGAATTCTACCTACAAATCGACGGTGTAGCGACGGGCTCTCCGGTATCTCCCGTTGTTGCCGATATTTTCATGGAAGACTTCAAGGAGCGAGTTTTACCCATGCTAGGCCGAAGATTTTCAAACGGTACGTTGATGATACTTTCACATATTATATTATATTACCTAAAGATAGCATATTTCTTTCTTGGATCATCTTAATTCTTTTAGTACTAGAATCCAATTTACTATGGAACAAGAGAATTGTGGTACTTTAGCTTTCTTAGATGTTTTATTAAAAGAAATCCTAATAACACCTTAGGCCATACTGTATTTCGAAATAAAAGCCATACAGATAGGTACCTCAATGGTAATTCCCATCACCATCCCAGCCAGTTAGCTACCGTGGGCATATCTTTGTTTCAAAGAGCACATGGTGTCTGCGACAGTAATCATCTGGCGGGGGAACTTCAGCATTTAAAGCAAGTCCTACATGCGAATAAGTTGAAGATTCCACGCCAATGCCGCAGTCCCCGTGTGAAACCACCAACAGTCGAGCGAAGATCTGCCATTTTACCTTACGTGAGAGGTGATACAGACAATATCGGAACAGTCCTCAGGCGTGCATTTATCAAGACGTGTTTCAAGCCCCTGAGGAAGATTTCTCAGTTCCTGGGACCCATGAAATGTAACATCCCCTTACAGGATGCGGGAGTTCACAAGTTTGAATGTGAGTGCGGTCTCTCTTATATTGGACAAACGAAGCGAAGTATTTGTACCTGTGTCGAAGAACATATAGCTGATGTCAAACACCTTCGCGTAAGCAAGTCTGCAGTCTGCGAGCATGTCATGGATAAACCTACACATTCAATGAAGTTTGACAAACCCCAGGTCCTTGCAAAAGAAGTCCGTTATCTACCCAGGTTGCTGCGAGAGGCCATTGAAATTAAAAAAACATCCTAATTTCAACAAGGAAGATGGTTTCTCCGTACCACCAGTTTGGGATCCAGTATTTCCTCTGATGAAAAATCCCAAACAGATATAAGACTGCCGTACTAATTAATATGTTTCAGTTTGTTCTAATTTCTATTATTAATTAATAAATTAAACTTAATAAAAATTCATTCGATAAAATAATTTGTAAAATTTAATGCAGCGTAAATTGGAATGTTTTCTTTGTAAAATTAAAAATAAGGTATTTAATTTATAACTATTGTAACTATAGTGAAAAAATAGGGTGGTTTGCATTAATATTAGATAAGTTATATCTTTGTTGAAGAGGTTGTAAGTTATATCTTGGTTGTGTGTAAGTTATATCTTGGTAGAAGAGGTTGAAGACTGTACTGCCTCAGTCAACCGTGACCATGGGACCTGTAAAGAGCCCGATACGTCGGTTTATTTGAAAAAACAAATATACGCAATTTAAATCCAGAAAAATAGTTTCATTTCCTATATTACTGTGGACTTACGCATAAAACTTTGCGACTCCTTAATCCTCTCGAAGCGAAATTACACTGACTCTGTATTTGGAGGATGTGCTTGTGCGTATAAAAAACTTTATCCATCTTTTTTGTGCAATCAATTCGTCCGTACTGCGTTTGGCATTAGCCCAGAATATAATGCCGTATCTTATGATTGACGAGATGTATCCGTGGTATGCCACTAGTAATGCATCTTGGTGCACAACTTTATATAGTCTCCATAAAGCGTATGCAAATCCATTTATTCTCATACACAAGATTCCTAAATGTTTTTCCCATGTTATATTATTATCTATATAGATTCCTAAAAATTATGTGACTTCCTCCTTAAATTTTGTATTCATATAACTTATGTCATATTGGGTTTATGTCTTATTAGTTTTGTGTTTAAAGTCCATGTACACTGTTTTGTTCAGATTAATTTGTAGTTTATTGTTTTGTAACCATTTTACTATAGATATTATTTCATTGTTTATTTCTTGGTCAGGTATATTACGTCGCCCAATGTCAAAAATTACAGTACTATCATCAGCAAACCTTAGCATAAGGTTAGCTGATGATATAAGGATAGCTGAGTTAGCTTAGCATTAGGTTATAAGTGGAAAAATATGATTAAATAATGTAAGTATGCTTAAAATGGAAATTACATTTTGCTTCTTTGCTATTTGGAGTTATGAAGAACAAGCAGCCGTTACACTTACACGACAAGCTAAGTTTTTCATCCATGCATGTTAGACATGCATCTCGTCTCGTATGCCGTCACAGAACAGCGCGCTTTCGAGGTAGCTTTCGCTATGCTGCTTCGAAATACTGGAATAATATAGCCTAGCAGAAACGCCTACTCATTGTTTGTATTCAAAAAAATTACTCAAAGAGTATCTGCTAAATCTTCAAAAATATCCATCCTAGCTGTTGATGTGACTGGGAAACATGCATTTAAGTTTCATATTGTTCGTCTGTTTAATTGTAATCAAACTTCTCTATTAATTAATTAAACCTTATTTTATAATTTTATCAAATTCCAATATAAATACGTTCCTATTTTATCATATTAATTTCCATTCAATTGTATTGTAATTTAAAAAAAAAAAAAAGTAAAAGTTTTGGTATCAGCATCAAACCAACAAAGTTCGATGGGCTGGTTCATACTCAGGGGAATACAGGTTGGAATGCGGGGTGAGGCAGGGCGGACTTACGTCTCCACGGTTTTTTAACTTGTACGTTAAGCACTGATTGATGAGCTAAGTGGAGCCGGAGTCGGCTGCTCAATAGACGGTAAAATTGTTAATAACATAAGCTACGCCGATGATATGGTTCTGCTTAGCCCATCGGCCAGGGCCCTGGAAGTATTAATTGCAGTCTGTGAGAGGTACGCGGTGTCCCATGGCCTTAGGTATAACTCTAATAAAAGCGAACTACTTGTTTTTAAGGCAGGAAACAAATTGCCTAAGTCTGTTCCTCCAATTAAGCTTGGAGCAGCTGTGTTAAATAGAGTTCACAAATTTAAATACCTTGGGCACTGGGTCAGTGCGGACCTCTCTGATGACCTGGAAGTGGAAAGAGAGCGTAGGGCATTGTCAGTGAGATGCAACATGTTGGCGCGCAGGTTTGCACGATGTAAATGCAGAAGTCAAAATAACTTTGTTCAAGGCTTTCTGCCAGACTTTCTACACGTGCAGCCTGTGGGCCAAATGTACTCGCAGATCGCTTGATGCCTTACGTGTGCAATATAATAATGGGTTTAGGACACTGCTGGGGTTGCCCCGGTTCTGCAGCGCGTCTCGTATGTTTGCCGAGGCACGTGTAGATAGTTTTCAAACTATCTTGCGCAAAAGGGTAGCCTCAGTGATGCGACGCGTAAGGGACAGCACCAGCGGTCTCCTAAACACCATATTAGAACGAGTAGATTGCCCGATAATAAGGCACTGGAATGCATGTCACATGCGGTCCAGAGTAGCCTTATTTAATATTAAATGATTTAATTTGTTACTAACATAGTTAATAAGACAATAATTGTTACTAACAAAATATTAATCTTGATGTATTACTAACAAAATGGACCTGAGATGTCTGAATAAAGAAATTTATTATTATTATTATTATAATTTGTTGCGCATAACATGGTACCTATTAAATGGTAGTTACCATTAAACTTGTAGAATTGTATCTTAATGGAATAGACTGTTCATGTTGTTTGTTTAAATTAATATAATTATGTGCTTGTGTCATCCAATATCTTTAGTGTCGCCTACTATGTTCCGTGTCACGTGTGTTCTGCTGCCGGATCCGCTGAAAATCAGCGTCGTAGCACTTGAACGTGAGACGACAACACGCTGAGTGGTTCACGGTTTCTTGGCAGCACAAGCTGGACAAGTTCATCATGGGAATGATGGCAGATCACGAGCAGACAAGTTATTCGTGCAGGATGAGACCGATTTGACACTAGCGAAAGCGGTAGATATGGCAGAAAGCGTGTGTTACGCGCGCCAGGCCGCTACTGCCGTGCACGGCGCCGGCAGCGCCGCCACGTCCGTGCCGGCGTCCGACCTCGTATACGCTATCTCCAAAAGGGACAACTGCAAGGGGGATATTAAATCACCAGTCAATTCAGTGCCGTTTGAAAAATTACAAATGTAAAAAGTTTAATCGAAGGCATTGATCTACTAACAAATGGACGTCGGGCTCGCGTTAAAAAATGTCCGCACCTATAGGATCCTATAGGTGTATATATATATCCTATATCCTACGTCCGGACGTTAAAATCGCATAAAGAGATGGTGTTTTTGGGCCCTGTAAATTATTGCAAGCTAAATTAGGCAGTACTGCAATGACGTTACAATTTAAATTAAAAGTTTTAGTTTTTTTATATTTCGTTACATGTCACTATGTGTGTATAGGTTAACTTCGGACATTTTTTTCGTGGTTTTTGTATTAGACCCGACGTCCATTTGTTGGTAGGTCAATGATCGAAGGAGTCATTTGCGAAAAATGTGCTCATACGATGATAAAGTGAAATTAATTGAGGAAGGTAATGTGGCGTCGGGTGATGACGGTGAGTTCGTTTTTAATATTCGTTGTATAAAGGGTCGGCCGATGGTCGAGCTTGTGAATAACGGCGGATTTTAGAGTTTTTAAAAAACTCTACCTATTCCGATCTGTGCCGTGGGGCGACGGCTTAAGAATACATTGTCGCCTCCCCATACATGCCCGTGGGGGTCT